GTCCCTCCTAGATGGCTCTGCAGTGAGGTCGTAGAAACATAACCAAGGAATACATAGGAGTAGGTAGCTAGCTAGCTGCAAGGGTACGCTGCCATCCAAAAGGCGTTTAAATGTATTTTAAACAAACAGCACTTTGAGTGCTCCTCAGAGAAGCACTACACAAATATCTCAAATAAAAATCCCCCACTAAGTGCTATGGAGAGAGCAAGCACAAGAAGAAGGCAAAGGATTTACCCTCCAAGCATATGAACCAGACTGTGTGGGTGTCTCTCTCAGGAAAATATTCTGGATCAGTCAATCTAGCTGAAAGGAGCCCAAAGGAGTTTTCCACTTGGCCCTCAGTGGATACAATAGAATGTGTGCATTTTCCCCCAGCCCCATACAGAGCTAGCGGCAGCTAGGCCTACAAATGTCCTAACACACAGGTGAGGACTTCAGGACTCTACAGGGCAAAAGAGAGACTGGCAAGATGCATCAGCACTGGGAATCAAGCTGGTAAGTCCTAAAAGGGAAGGGCCTTGGGCTAGACTGTCATATTACACCTGTAGAGACCCAGAAGCTTCACCCAAAGGCCTGCAAATGAGGGAAGCGAGTGCAATGCCATCCAGCCTCTTAAGATAATATTACCTCTCCTCTCGGGAAATGTCTACCCCCACTGACGGTGGTGCAGCGAGAATGTCCGTGATCAGGGGCAAGAAGCGCTGCAGGATCAACTTCAGTGAAGTGCAACCTGTCTGGACGTAGCTATCAAGACAACACAGACCATCAGCAAAAATGGAAACGCTTTCAAAAACAGCCTGAAAAAGCACCAGATAAAAGGAAGGAGGTGGCTCATGTTCCAAAGCACATCCAGTAAGGCTTGCCAAGTCTAACTGTTCAAGCCAAGGTGCAGAACAACATTCTTTCAGACTACCTGGAGAGAGAAATGGCATTTCTCACCGATATGGTCACTGGCTGTAACAGGACTTGCCTTTTGTCCAACTTCTGATTTTTTTTTTTAAAGGGTAACACACTAGGATCATCATTGTGGTGCAGTGGTTAGGGTTGGACTGGATCTGGGAGATGCAGGCAGTTGTTCCTGTCGGCAGCAGAGGATACGGCTTGCAGTAATGGGTTCAAATTACAAGCAGAAAGGTACTGGCTGGATATTAGGATTATTTATTTTTTTACAGTAAGAGTAGTTTAGCAGTGGAATTGTCTGCCTAGGGAGGTGGTGGTGAGCTCCTCCGCACAAGCAGCAGTTGGACGAACACTCGTCAGAGATGCTCTAGGCTGATCCTGCACTGAGCAGGGGCTGGACTAGATGGTCTGCATGGCCCCTTCCAACTCTATGATTCTATAAACCCTCACTCGGCCATGGAAGCTCACTGGGTGACCTTGGACCAGTCACCCAATCTCACCCTAACCTGCTTCACAGGATCATCACTGTGAGGATAAAATGGAGGAGGGGGAACTATGTAAACCACTTTGAGTCCCCAGTGGGGGGCAAGATGGGGTAAAAATGAAGTCGATAAATTGTAGCTGCCCGCTTGTTTCAGCTCTTTGCAAAGCTCAGATGGCACAAATTAGCCCAGTGATGCTATGTCCCTGATCTGCAAGTAAACTGTAGGGACAGCATCACTCAGATCCCCCTGATCAGGCCGCCATTAAGGGCAAGTCCAGCAAAAAGGGGCCAGTACAGGGATGGGAAGGAAACGAGCACAGTCAAGGTAGAGGACCAATAAATCTCAGCATAGAGCTCCCTCTGCTGGCAGTAACCACACAATGATGGGCCGATGTCTGAATCACCTCCATACCAAAAGTGCTGCTTAACGCCTCCCATCTCTATGGGCTGAATTCCAGTTTTG